TGTGGGGGTTGTGTGTGTGTGTGTGTGTGTGTGTGTGTGTGTGTGTGTGTGTGTGTGCACGTGTATTGCTTTTGTGCGGTTTCTTCATGCGCTCACTGCTTTTCTTGCGTGTGCTCCTTGTCTTTATTCCCTCCACACATAGCGCCTCCAAGCGGAGAGCAAGCAGTTCCGATTCGCACGTCGTGAAGACTGGTGAGCGTATGTGTGTGTGTGTTTCCCGGTGTGATGTGTGCGTATTTGTCGGCTAGTGTGTGATCTTTGTGTGGTTGTGTGCGCTTGTGACGCAACTCTGGCACATGCATCCTTGCCTCAACCTCGCTCTCACCTCCCTCCATCCCCTGCAACCCACACCGCGACTCCCATGCGAACATCTTCGCGTGCATTTACAGAGGAGGAAGCAGCAGAGCCCTCCACCAAGAAAGCAAAAGCTGAGACAGCCTGTCCCCACTGCAGTAAAACTTGCACCACAAAACGGTACCATCTTGTGTGATTGTATGGTCGTGTGATTGTGTGTGTGTGTGATTGTGTGTGTGATTGAGTATGTGTGTGTGGTCGTGTTTTGTGTGTATGTTTGTGTGTGGTCGTGTGTGTGTGTGTGTGTGTGTGGTCGTGTGTGTGTGTGTGTGTGAGGGTCGTGTATGTGTGTGTGTGTTACTTTTCTGCTTGCACTTGATTGTGCGTGCACGCGTGTGTGTATGTGGGATAGAAGGTGCTCCGGGATCCATGTGTTTGTTTGGTGATTGCGTCATGTGCCATCGCTCCTATTGACGCCCCAAACACACTGTCTACTTCCTCACCCACATGTGTGCATCTGTGCGGGTGTGCCAAAACCCATTCCATCCCTCGACCACATCGTTGTCGTCAACAAACAGCGGCGTGACCCTGCACATCCAACATGCCCACCCCGAACACGTTCCCACAGACAAGCGACAGAAGCGCCAAGTGAAGGGCAGACGAAAGGTACAACAACAAGAGGGAGAGGGAATTGCACACGGGCAGCCTTGCTTATTCGATGCAGGTTGTTGTATGTTTCACCTTCTTTCAGTTGGACACACTTCACACACACACACACACACTCACTCACACACACTCACTCACACACACTCACTCACACACACTCACACACACACACAAACACACACACACACACATGCACGCACACACACTCACCGTCATCACATTGTCACATCGTCACATCATCACTCTCACCACCATCATTATGACCACCATCATATCATCATCATGGCGCCTGCAGCAATCGCTACACAAGGCCGAGTCCATGCCCGCGTCCCCTCGTGCATCGTCGTCGTCGTCATCATCGTCTGCACTGGCAAAGGCGGCAGCTGGTGGTGGTGGGGGCGCACGACAAACGGATTCGCTACCGGCCACGCCGGCTGGGCGGGCGAAGCGAGATGCACGCCGCCGCCCCTCTCGCACGAGCACAGACACACGCAAGACGAAGAAGCGACGAGGCAGCACGACAAGCGGTGGTGGTGTTGGTGGGAATGGGCGGGAGAGGACGGGATCGCGCAGCGGAACGCCGCAGCAGGGCAGCGAAGATGGAAAGAAGCAGAAGCCGACCATACGAGAAGTCATCAAGCACAAGCACCCGAGCGAATACGGTGCGTGTTTGCGTGCATGCGTGTGTGTGTTGGTGTGTATGGCGTGAGCGTGAGCATGCGTGAGCGTGAGCGTGCGTGCGTGTGTGTGTGGTGGGTGTACGTGTGCATGTTGTGCACGTTCATGTGCATGTGTATTTGAATGCAATCGAAGCAGGTGGCCATTTTTGCGCTCTCTTGCATTCACTGACGTCACGTGTTACGCACCGCTTGTTGCATGATGTGGGTCGCATATTCACTGCGCGTGCTGTCCTTGGACACAACTTCATGACAGATGAGACCTCGACGGTGCGCTGCGTGTGTGGATTTCACACCTTGACGCACACCATGCTCCAATGCACCAAGTGTGGGCTGTGGCAACATTGGTACGTGTACAGCACCAACAGCTCCGCTTGCCTGTTCACGATTCTGTTTTCGTGCTTGCTGGCTTCTTGGCTGTTTGTAATCTTTTATGCGTCTGCGCATGTGTTTGTATACTTGTGTGTGTATACTTGTGTGTGTGTACTTGTGTGCGTGTGCGTGTGCGTGTTCATGTACGTGTATGAACGTGTATGAACGTGCGTGCGTGCGTGCGTGTGTGCGTGTGTGTGTTCATATACGTGTATGAACACGTGTGTGTGTGTGTGTGCACAGCGATTGCGTTGGAACGGAGGCGACAGCGCAGCCGGCGAACATGTACATGTGTTACATGTGTCAGCGGTCCAGGACAACCATGTGTAAGTATGCTTTGCTTGATAACACCACTTTTTGTTGCTTCAGTTTCAACTTTATGTACTCTGCAGAGCCTTGTGTCACGCACCGTTCGTGCACGCGCGAACGCAGCTAAATTGTTGTGTTCTCACGCGTGTGCTGCGCAATCACCAATGTGCGTGCGTGCGTGTGCGTCCATCAGATCAAAGCCTAAGCACGGGTCCCATGTGTAAGACCGTTGCTCCCGAGCTGTGTCACGTCTCTACCTCGTCTTCTTCGAAGGTACGCCGTGGTGATTCACGTGCTTGAGCCGTGCCACTGTGTGTGTGTGTATGTATGTGCGTGCTTGTGTGTGTATGTGTGCGTGTGAGTGCGTGTGAGTGCGTGTGAGTGTGTGTGTGTGTGCTGGGCGCTGTGTAAGCTGAGTGTTGAACGGTATTTCTCACGCCCACATTCACATGAGTTGCTTGCCACTTGTTTTGAGTCACACACACACACGCACACACTCACTCACTCACAACCACACACACGCAACCACACGCAACCACGCCTACGAGGGCAGGCGCCTACGATGCGGGATACGGCTGAGACGGTGCTGGCGTTTCTGATGGAGGACTTGGACCTGATCGGGCTGGCCGTCAGGGAATGCGGCATTCGTGTGGGCAGGTGAGAGAGGAGAAGAGGAGGGAGGGGGGAGGGGAGCACGCACGATGGTGATATCAACGGCTGAAACCAGGCATTACACTGTATTTCACCCAACTCATACACACATACGCACAAATGCACACATGCACACAAATGCGCACATATACACATGCACACGTGTTTCAGTTTGCGGCCGACGGCGTCGCAGCATATGCTGAAGACAATCACGCAGGAACAGCAGCTGCTCAACAACCGCATGTGTGATATTCTCGAAGACATCAAAGGTGCGCGCATGTGTGTGCTGTGGTTTGCGTGGTTTGTATGGGGTTTGTATGTTTTGCGTGTATTCGGGTGCTTTTAGTGTTTTATGTGCCTGTTACTTCTCCTCCCTTCACTTTCTCACGATGTCACACACACAACACACATATCAACACGCATGCATACATACACACGCACATATCAACACACGCAACGCAGCGCTTGAGCGGGTGATCACGGTCCTCGTCGTTCATCCGGACGGGCGAACACTCGACAGCGCAGATGTGACGCGATTGCGGTTTCTGCAGCGGAAATACGACGTGCAGAAGTTGGAGGATGAGCCCGCAGACTACAACGTGTACATGACACCGCCCAAGAGCGAGGAGACCACTGCTGCAGGTGGCACAACAGCAGCGGCAACAACAACAGCAGCGGCAACAACAACAACTGCAGCAGCCGTCACAACAACAGGAGCCACAACGACAGGAGCCACAACAGCGGCAGCAACAGCAGCAGCAACAACAACAGCACCTGCCACATCTGCTGCTCGCGTTGCCAATGCCCTGACATCGGTTCCCACCACCATCTCATCCACCACAGCGCAAACCACGGCAGCCACGAGTGCGCCATACGATAGCAACACCAATCCCAGCACGACCAGAGCCGCGCCCACGGCTACGACGGTTGGTTCGACGCTCTCAACAGCTGTCATGTCACAGTCCATGCCAGGCGCCAGCACCAGCACAGTGTATCAAACACAAACACCGCAGCCAGGGGCCACCGCGTACGCAGTACAACCCCAGAGGCGACCAACACCGCTCATTCCAACCCCACAACAACAACAGCAGACGCAGCAGCATCAGCATCAGCAGCAGCAGCCACAGCGAAGCACGTTCGGAACCAAAGCGTTGCTGGAAGGGCGGGTGGAGCAAGGCAAGGTGACCAAGTCACCACCACCATCGCAAGCTCCACCGACAACTACTGCCGCAATGACTGCAACATCTGCAGCGGCAGCGGTAACTCCAGCAACAGCAAAACAAGAAGCAGACGCAGCAGTATCAACAAATACGAAATGAACAAAGAGGCCACATGTATCGTTGTTACCGTGCTTGTATTCGTGATGTCCGCCCTCGCTCGCTTTCTAGCTTGTTTGTTGACACTTGTGCATGTTGCTTGTATCGAAGCCGCCGTAAACGGACACGTGACACCCCCCCCCCCCCGTTATGCATCCATCCATATGGGTTGGTTCGTTGTGTACTGAAAACAAGAAGAAGATGAAGTAGGAAATCGACAAGCATCGAAACCCACAACATGCCCGTCGCTTCAACTACAAACGGCCACACACACACACACACACACACACACACACACACACACACACACACACACACACACACGAGATGCGCAAACGGATCATCTATGTACGTCGTGCTCCACAACAACAAGCACCACCACAGCCACAAGAAACTACAACAAACAGCAACCAAACAACGAAAACATCGCGGCTGGCAACAGCACCTGCCCATGAGAGCTAGAAGCGCACGTATGCAAGACCCGGCCTGGCGTGGCCACAAACTTCGCAGTAAAACTGGCTGTCGCTGGTAAACACCGTGCACACGCTGCACACCCACTTGCCCGTCGGGCACTCGCGCTCGCCGGTCCACCCAAGCTCGCACATGGCGCAGGTCTTGTTGTCAATGGGGTTGATGAATGTGCAGTTGCGGCACTGCCAGACAGTCTCCTCCTCGCCCTCGTCCTTGCCCTTGCCCGTGTCCGCCTCCGTGCGCTGGCTCACATAGAACTTCTCCGCAAGCTGCTCCATTGTCAGCACGCCAGCCTCGTCCACGTCCACCACGGAGATGATGTCGGCAACGTCGCGCGGCGAGAAGCCAAGATGCAACCCTTCCAAGCACCGCTGCAGCTCCGTGCACGTGAGCTTGCCGTCCTGGTCCTCGTCGTGTCGGATGCACGCCGCCATAAAGTCGACGGACGGCTTCGCCTGCAGCGCGGCATTGAACTGGTCGAGTTTGGCTCGTGCGCTCAGCAGGTGCCACGCCGCCTTCTCCGTCAGCACCTTGGCCAGCGGCGTGTCTGCCCAGCGGTTGCGCTCGCGGCGCCGCAGACGCAGGCACTCGGCAAAGAACGTCTCCCGCTCGCTCACCCGTGACTTGCTCAGCGCTTCGAGCAGCACACCCACCTCTTCGTCCGAGTAGAACATGTCATTGTTGACAAACCGGTAGCACACGAGCGCCTCCTGCCGCTGCTGCCCGCGCAAACCCGCGCGAGCATCAGCACCATTGCCACTACTGCCAGCAGTGATGCTGTAGCCAACACCGCCAGCGACGAGCGTGTGCAGGTGGCTGGCGTCCAGGTTGCGGCCCTCCAGCGTCCACAACGCAAGGCTTGCCATCTTGAGAATGGCCTGCTGCGAGTGCAGGATGCGGCGCATTGTCTCTGCCTCGGCCAGGGACAGCGCAACAAAGTACGAGGCGTTGGGGTCTGTGACCCCCTGGTTGTTGGCCACGGCAACAACGCGCTGCAGCTTGGCCATGGCCGCAGCCATCGCCGCGGTGGCTGCCTTGTTTGGCGGCATGCCCTGCTCCTTCACCAGCTGCTGGAACTGGCGCGAGATCTCATCCTTGACGGCGACGCGCGACGCGCCCGGCTGCCACTCCAGCACCACAGCAATGTTCTTGAGGCGGCGGTCGCCCACGCCAACCCACCGCGGGCGGAAGAAGTTGTCGGTCAGCAGCAGCGCAGGCGGGAACGCGAGCGTCGGCTGCTCGTCGCGCACGCGAAAGTCTGAGAAGCGGTAGAATGGCTCCTCGCCACCCAGCTGCAGGGAGGGCGTGCGGGCAAGCACCTCCACGTTCCACGGGTTCTGCTGCTCGTCGTCGCGCGTGTATGCGCTCATCTTCTCCTCCTCCTGCTCCGCTTCCTCCTCGGCCTCTTCCTCGGCCTCGGCCTCGTTCTCGTGCACGACCTCGCTGTCCAGTCCGCCCTCCGTCTTGGCAATGTGCGCCGCGCTCACCTTCTCAATACGCAAGATGATGCCCTGCACCGCCTCCGACGCCTGCGCGTCCTGTGCAAACCGCTCGTTGTCCGCCTGCAACGCACGCAGCTTGTCGCCAAACACCTGCGTGCGGGGGATGTGGTCTGGCAGGGGGAAACCAATCTTCTCCCTAAACTTGTCCACGCATGCCTTGAGCCAGGCCGTCTGCTCGTCCGTCTTCATGAACCGGCGCATGCGCTCAATCCCGGGCGCGTCGGCCAGCAGCGCCTCTCGCTGCAGCGACAGCAGCGCCGTCTTGCGCCACACGTTCTGAATCTCCTGTAGGCCCAGCTTGCAGTACTGCATGGAGGTGGCGTTCATCGAGTTGACGAGCAGCCACGCCGGGATGTCCAGCTCTGCGCGGCCTGTGGCCGCCGCCAGCTCCTGCTGAAGCAGCTGCATCACCTCAGAAATGATGTACAGGTGGATCGTCTGGCCCTGCCCAATGCCGCGCATGCGGAACGCGCCCTGGGCGTAGTCGCGGAAGGTCATGTCCTTGCCAATGGTGAGCACGGAGCGGGCGTTGGGCGCCTGCTTGATGTCCATGCCCGTGGTGTGGATTTGGTCGTAGAAGGTGAACCTGTTCTCCGGCTTGACACCGCACTGCGACAGCGGCAGGCAGCGGCCCGAGTTGCGCAAGAGGATCATCTGGCGGTCCAAGCGGTCAAGGTACACCACGCCCTCAAACGCCGGCGGCAGGAACCGCAGCAGGTAGCGCGCGGCCTGCAAGTTGCTGAACCCCGTGATCAGGGCACCCGTGTCGATGAGGGCATGGAAGGGCGGGCTGCTCGTGGCCACGTCGCGCAGGAGCGATTTGGCCGTCCAGTTGGTCTTGACGCTCGCCGTCGTCACCTCCGGCGACGTCAGCACGTGCACCACTTTGCCGTCGCTGCCAGGCTCGTACTCGCACTTGCCCAGCTCCGCAGGCATGAGGTTGTTGGGCGTGCCGCTGAACCCGAGCCGCGCGCGCCCAAAAAGGATGGAGCTGCCAAGGTCGACGCCTGACGCGCTGATCTTGAGGGCCTGGGAACGCATGGTGGCGGGGAAGACGTGCTGTCGCAGGTAGTAGTAGCACGTGTGCGGCAGGCGTTTGAGCAGGGTGTGCAGGCGGCGCATCTGGGCCGGGTCACTCGGCTGGAACAGCGGCAGCGGGAGCACTGTCTCCAGCAGATCCAGGGTCTTCTCGTCGTTGCCGGCGACTTGCTTGACCACATCGAGCCACGTCTGGAACAGCACGCTCGCGGGCCGCTTGTCGCGCGGGCCAACCTGCCGGGACAGGTCCTGTTTCAGCTGGACGACCATTCGGCGAAGGTCAGACGAGCGGAGGCCTTCGTAGCGGTACGCAAGCACGGTCAGGCCAATGAGCACATCCGGGTGCGCAAATTCACTGCTGCGCGACGGCACGTCCTTGCCCACAAACGGCACCGCCATCAACTGCACACAAACAACAACAACAACAACAACAACAACAACAACAACAACAACAACAACAACAACAACAACAACAACAACAACAACAACAACAACAACAACAACAACAACAACAACAACAACAACAACAACAACAACAACAACAACAACAACAACAACATGATGTGAGCGTGCGTAAAGATGCACAAGTTGACTCGAGGGAGTTGGACGAACGGATCGAACGGACAATTCAGGTTGAATGTAGACAGTGGCAATCATTTCCCCTCCTTCTCGCTTTTGCGTAGTTGCTTGGTGTCTCGTTCTGACTCGTCCATCATCACACTCACACCCGACGGCAGTAACCACCAAAGATGCCATGCAGGCGTAAACATGGATCACGCACGAGCCTCACCAACAACAAACCATACCCAAGCGCACCGACCCAGACAACACTGACAACCAACAGCACCAGCCATCTCACCTTGCGGGACTGCGGGGAGCGCGAGTCGAGGCGGGCAAGGTCGCCTGCACGCAGCAGGCCGTACGACACGCGGTTGATCTTGGAGATGCAGTGGCAGAAGAGGGTGCGGGTCCACTCGCTGGCCAGGTTGAGGAAACGTAGGCTCTGCTTGCTCAGCTGCTGTTCGAGCGACTTCTGCACAGCCTCGTCGCACGTGTTGCCTTCCAGCAGGTATGTCATGACGTGGTTGGCGTCCACGTCCGCGCTCTTGCTGTCCCACGCCTGCACCAGCCAGAGGTAGCACCACCTGGCAATCACGGGGCGCATGTGGTCCCAGTAGAACGGCTGCGACAGCAGCACAATGTGCGGCTCCTTCTGCAGCGCGCTCACCATGATTCCCTTGTCGATGACGGCCCCGAGCTCCTGGATCACGCCCTCTGCAGTGATGCCCAGAGGATTGTCTGTGGCACTTGCAAATTGCTCACAAAGGTCCTGGGTGTGGCGGTGGAAGAAGGCGTCGATGATGTGCATGGGAAGGTCCCAGCGGTAGCTTGGCATCGCCGTCGTGGCCCCAATCGGGAAGTTGAGCTCAGACTTGAGCGGGTTCAGAATCACATCAACCTGCACAGGAACACACATTATGAGATTGTGAGGTTGTGTGATCATGAAATTGTGAGATTGTGAGAAACACAAGATAAACGAAACAGGGGAGGATGCAATGGAGTGGTCGCATGGAAGAATGAACAAATGGAAATGAAGGAAGGATGGATGGAAGTGATGGAACCAGACACAACGCAAGATTGGATCACCACCATCACCACCACCGTCACTGTCAACGCACCTCGTCCATGATGAGGATGCCCTTCTCCTTGATAATGTTGACGAGCCGGAACACCTCGTCAGCAACGTCACTGCGTGACGCAAGCTGGTCCCGCAGGCGCGTCACCTCCCTGTTGTTGCGAAGACTCTCGTTGGGGCGGATGCTGTTGAAGTCAAAGCTCTCCAGTCGCTCTAACGCCTCCACAGACTTGAGCATGAGCGACTTGACCGCCTCTGGCGCTGCGCACACAATGTCCCGGTTGGTGCGCGCCGCATCAATCTTCGAGCACAGGCTGCGAATCTGTCACCACAACAAGGCACGTTGATTGGGTGGTGTGTGTGTGTACGTGTGTGTACGTGTACGTTTGTGTGTGTGTGTGTGTGTGTGTACGCGTGCGTGTGTACGCGTACGTGTACGATTGTGTGTGTGTGTGTGTGTGTGTGAATGTTCTGGCGCATGTGACACACTGGCGCGACTCAAACATGTGCGCAAAAGGATCTCATCAGCCATACCCACGCATGCACGCAGCACACCGAATAGCAAGTGTTGCCGTACCTTCTCAATGTCGTCGATGGAGCGATCGAAGGTGAGGGTGAAGATGCGTTTGACAGCAACAAAAGAGAAGCGTGACCGCAACACATTGCGCGTCTGCTCAAGAAGCGCCGAGGGCATAATCTGCTCGTATGCGTGATGTTGCGTGTGTGCGCATGCGTATGTACGCATGTGTAAGAGAGCATGAGTGCGCGCACATGTGTGTTTGGCGTTCACGGCTGCTGAAGGCCGCGCACTTCCTATCAAGAGACAGTCAGAGTGCACACAGCCTGAACACTGCCAAAACATTTAGGCATCGAGAAGTGCATGCACGCACCTGGACCACCAGGCTGTCGCCGTCAGCGAGAATCAAGCTCAGCATCGGCCCAACAACCGTCGTTTTGCCAGCACCCTAAACGATGACGCACGCAACCATTGCAGTCAACCCTAAGTCACGGTTGTGCGTGCTATGCTACCATCACTCGCCACCCAACGCGCTCGCAACAACCAACACATGGCATGCACCACAACACTCTCACGCACATGCAGACATACATGCACATACACACGCACACATTGCACGCCACACAACATACACGTCTCCTCCCCTCCCTACCAAACACGCAGCACCCAGCACGCATCACGCACCATGATCATCTGCTGGACTTTTGAGGAGTGGCTGGCGGCGCTGGAAGCCATCTCCGTCACAATCTCAACCTGGCGCTTGCGAAGCAGAATCTCAAACATGTATTCGCCCACGAGGAAGCGCGGGTCGTACCAGTAGCACGGCTTGCCATCGCTCTTGTCCTGCTTCACATAGTGGCGGGCCGAGGTCAGGCCCAGCGCAACCTGCCGCTGCTGCTGGTCAATGCGCTTCAGCAGATCGTCCACAGCTCCAACTGTCAAGGCATCGTCCCCGCCATCAGCAGAGGACGACGATGTCGCTTGTGTTGGTGTTGGTGTGCTGCCGAGGTGCTCGACCTTGGCGCGCAGCGAGGCGACCTGTGCAAGTAGGGCCTCAGCCCGGGCAAGCACGTTGGTGATGAAGCTGCATCTGTTGGTGTGCAGGGCGGCTGCTGCTGCGAGCGTCATCAGCGACGATGCGTCTGCGAGGTACGGGTTTGCCCGCTTCAGGTCCTCGCACCCGCGGGACGACATGAGTGCTGAGATGACAAACTGGGACGGGATGGTAGGTCGCTGGCCAACAAATTTGCGCAGCGAGAAGAGGCGCCGCTGCACCTCGTCCTCACGCCCGTCAAACGCAACTGCGTTCGCCCGCGCGTGCAAGAACGCAAACGAGCGCTCCACAAAGGAGAGGTCGTGCTCGTACAGCGCGCGCAAACTCTCCACAAGCGCCTTGACCCGCTCATATCCCTTCTGCAGGCGCGACAGCAGCAGTGCGCGTGCCTCCGCGGTGAGAGGTACGTTGCTCCCACTGTCACTGGTGGTGGTGGTGGTGTCGACCGTGGTGGCGGCGCTGTCCTTGCTGTCGCCAGCATTCTTGCTGCTGGGGATGACATCTGCTGCGAGTTCGGTGTGCGTGAGACCGTGCAGCACAGGCACCTTTTCCGTGTTGTGCTGGCGAGCAAAGCGGGCCACGTCTTCGTCGAGGCGGTCAAGCAGCTCGCGCGACACGGTGCTGGCGGCCGCTGGGTGCTCCTTGAGGTCAAACGGAACGTGATCCCGCGCAGGGTTGTCCGTGTGCTCCCAGGCAATGAGGTCCTCCCCCGCCACGCTCTGCAAGGGGGTGGATGAGAAGTGGGCGGCGGCCTGCTTGTCCAGGCGCAGCGTGGAGACCTTGAACGGCCGCAGGGAGCGGGATGCCATGGAGTTGTCTGAGAGGTGCAGCGGCTGCCGCAGCTCGTCGCTCAGCTGCAGCGTGGAGGCGAGACGCACCACACCTTCTTCCGCCTCTCGGATGCGCGAGAACTCGTCAATCTGCGAGGAGATGAGCATGGTCTTGATGGGGTCTGTCATGACGCCGCGGAAGACCATGTCGGCCATGTCCAGCCACTGCTTGAGCTCCGTCATGCGGCCCTCGGGCGAGTACAGGTTGAGCCCGCGCGAGAGCTGCCGCTGCGACGTGGAGTCCGACGGCACGGCTGGCCAGGCTGCGTCCGGGGAGGTGAGCATGCATGCAAGCATGGCCATCTGCTTGGTGATGATATACTCTGCCTCGCCCTCGCGCGTGCCCTCGCCCCAGCGTGCAACCTTGAGCTGGAACAGGCGGGTCAGCAGCGTGCTCACGCTGTCTGTGACGTCGCTACCGGAGAAGCGGCAGCGGATGGCGCCGCGAATCAGCTGGTACAGGAACACAATGCCCAGCTGGCGGTTGGACCCGCTCTCCTCGTCCGTCACCAGCGACTCGTCCCAGATGAGGCCCACCAGCTCGTTGGTGTCGAGCTTGTTGGCCTCCTGCCCTGGGTGGCGGAACTGCACGCGCGTGAGCGGCTGCGTGGCCCGCACCACGTAGTCCAGCGTGAGCGTCTGCACCTTTGCCCAGGGCAGCCCGCCCCAGCGCAGGCCGTTTGGCTTGAGCGTGACGGGCTTGGTGACGGCGTCCTTCTCCTTCTTCACTGCGTCTGCCAGCGCCTTGTCGCTCTCCTTGAGCACGGGCCCGCTCCTGGGTGCGTACAGCGGGCGCAGCAGCATGAAGCGGTTCTTCAGCAGCTGCGTCTGGTTCTTGGCCAGCGCAATGGCGGCGTACTCCTCGTCCGGGCGCAGGCGACACGCCGCGCGCACGCCAGGCTTCTTGGCAAAGTAGCCCACAAGCTCCGAGGTCAGGTCCCACTTGAACGGGTTCTCGCTGTACATGATGGCCAGGGTGAGCTTGATGCGGCACGCGTGCGCCTCGGGGTGGCGGTCTGTCACTGTGCGCTCAAACTGGTCGAAAATCCAGCTCTCCTCGCTGTCAAAGTCCGTGTCGGTGAACACGGTGCCGATGAGCTTGAACGCCTCCAGGTAGTTGCGCGTGAGGAAGCGCAGCAGAATCAGGTACAGCGTGCTCGCAAGCGTCGTGCAAATCAGATGTTGCTGTGTTTGTTGTCGTGGTGGGGGCGGTGGTGGGTGAAAATTGATATGAATAGGAGGAAAAGAGGGAGCGGTTGAAGGTGACGATGGCGTGTGAGAAGAGAGTGCATGTGCATTTGTGTGTGTGTGTGTGTGTGTGTGTGTGTGTGCATGTGTATGTGTATGTGCATGTGTGGACAATGCATAAGAGGAAACGACAAAAACAAACCGACAATGCATCACGCTCACGTGCCCATATACATCACACTCACTCACTCACTCGCACACACACACACACACACACACACTCTCTCTCTCTCACACACACACACACACGTCTCCTTGTTGCGTGCTCCTTGTCACACTCACGTGGGATTGGTGGATGGGGTAGAGGTAGTAGCGGGTGTCCATGGTGGTCTGCCAGCCGAGGGAGGCGCGATCCGCCATGATTTGCGTTGGAAACGGCTCACCGTCAAGCGGCAGCCGATACAGGTCGTGGTTTGGCACAAGCAGCATCAGCCCACCTGCAGATCACACAGGCATGCGTCGGCGTGGAGGTACAACGTATGAGGGAATGGGACAGCATGCGATAACTCCACACATACAGGTACAGACAGATACAGAGCGCTACACACACACACACATGCGCGCATTAACACAAACATATACGCATACAAACAAACGCAAGAAATATACACACACGCCTGGTTGCCTAACCTGTGCCGTTTTCGAGAAGGAGTGAGTGCTCGATGCCTTGGATGAGCTCCTTGAGGTGGGTGTGCTTGATCTTGGACTGCTCCTGATCGCCACCACTCCCTACGCCAGTGCCACTGCCCTCAGCACCACCATCATCGTCGTCATCAACGTCCATGGCGTTGTCATCATCACCATCGTCACCGCCGCTGTTCCACATGTCGCCGCCATGTCCAAACGCGTCATCATCACCATCATCATCACCATCACCGCCGCCAGCACCAGCATCAGCGCCTTCGCCTTCGCCCTCGCGTCCATCAAGGTCCTCCACGCTGTCGTCGGGGACGTTGAGAGCATCTGAAATGTACCAGCCCGCGTGGTCAAGCAGCACAAGCCGCAGCACGCCGCCTTGCATCGCAGGCTTCATGCGCAGCTGCACAACAGCCAAGCAACCAAGGGTGTTGTGAGTACACATGACGAAGCCAATAATCGGGTGTGGGGGTCGGGGTTGGGGAGGGCGTGCGAACAAGGGCGAATGCACACAAATCACGACGGGTGCAACGTACACACACACGCACGCACACACACACACACAATGCACAAACACACACACACACACACATGCACGCACGCACACACAATGCACAAACACATGAGCAAGTAGCAAGCAACAAACAAAAACGAACAACAAAGCAAAAAAAAAAAAAAGGACAGCAATGAAACACATTGCAATTCAACACCATAGCACAACACAACCACATCGAACAACCCACCCACAGCGCACCTTGAGCCGTGGAAGTTCAATGAGGGAGACGGGACACTCGTCCTGCGTCGGGTCTGTGCTGGTGGACCACACGAGAACGTTGGACAGGTCCTCAATGCGGACAAGCAGCGTGGCCAAGCGGTACAGGAACGTCCCCTTGGAAGCATCCAGCAGGTTCAGCAGCATGCCTGTTGGTGTGGACGTCGCAGCATCAGTGTCAGTGTCAGCATCTGCGCCGGCGCTGGCGCTGGCATCGTCCTGCGCGGTCTTCGCCCGCTTCTTGCTCTGCTTGTCGCCATCGCCGTCGCCACGCTCGTCGGGTCGCTCGTCCATGAACGTGTCAGAGTCCACCGACATGCCCATCATGGCTGAATTCTGCCGCGACGGCAGTGATGCGGGCTGCTGTGCTGCTTCGAGGGCCAGCCGGCGGTTCTCCTCGTTGCCCAGCCACGCCACGCACGCCTCAAGCGTGTCTGCGTGCGTGCAGGCAAACCTGGCCTCGGCCTCAGAGTACCCAAGCTGCACAAGGCGGCTGCTCACGGACGAGTCTGCGGACCCTTCGTGCTTGGCCTCCTCCTCCTCAATGTCCTCCTTGTGGTCTGGGTCCAGCAGCCACTCCGCTGCTCGTCCTACGTCGTGCTGCATCCTGCGCAGGGCGAGCTTGGCCGCGGGCACGGAGAACCCAAGCGCAACCAGGTGCACCAAGTCGTGCTCGGCGTACCCTTGCAGGTCCGCCTCACCGCTGGCCACGGCAGAGGGCTGGCTCGCCGAGGACGTGCGTGCAAGCAAGTTGGCTGCGGGCGCCGCCGTGGCGTCGCTGGTGGCCACGGTTGCCGAGCTTGTGCTGGACGTCGACATCTTCGCCCCAGTGCCACGGCCCTTGTGTGTCTTCTCCTGCTTCTTCTGCTGCTCCTTCCTCAGCGGCAGCTTGAAGACGGTGGCGTTGCCCGTTGCCTCGTCCATGGTGATCTCGAGGCGGTATCCAAACCACTCCGCGTCCTCGTCCGGGGCGAGCGGGTCGCCACGCACAACGCCGTCCACGCCGTGGTAGAAGCGGTGCGAGGACAGCAGCGCAGCGGGCACCAGGCCTGCCAGCAGCCGCCGCGGCAGAAGCACCTCGTGCTCCCCGGTCACGGGGTTGCGCCGCTGCACGACAAGGGACGCGTCGTTGCCGCGCTGGCGCCGGATGTTGCCGGCTTGCTTGCAGGCAATCGGCGGCACGGCACGGGCTTTGGGGTCAAAGTTGGGCGAGAGCGAGGCAAGGGAGAAGCCGTGGTGGCTCGTGTACACGAGCACGCGGTAGAGCTTGCGACCGTGGCTCACCAGGTTGTACATGTGCACGAGCTTGCGGTGCTTGTAGACGACCACCTCCTTCCACGTGGCGTGCTCCTTGTCCGGCGCAGAGCAGGCAATCAGGCGCGCAACGTCGCAGTCTTCCGGCAACGGCTGACGCGGGAGCAGCAGCTTGTAGGCAAGCTTGCGGTCGGGCGGAAAGGCGGGGAAGTTGGCGAGGAAGATGGGCTGCAGCACGTCGGCAATCCAGTGCTCGTGCTTGTGTTCGAGGCCGCAGTGGGGGCGCTCGTCGTAAATGTCGAAGGGGCGGTCCCACACCTGGCCCTGGTACTGGCAGCACTCGGCAAAGTCAATCGACACCTGCACCTCCTGAAGATAGAGCAAAGGGTGGTGGCATGGTTTGGAAAGTGGGGCGGGGAAGTGTTGGTGCTGGGGAGCGAAAGTGGGGCAAAGGCGAAGCAAGGGGTGGAGCGGGTGGAGCAAGGGTGCAGGGGAACACTGAGCACACACACACACACACACACACACACACACACACACACACACACACACACACACACACACACACACACACGCACACCTTGGTCTTCGGCCTTTGGCTCGTCCCATTCAATGAGGTCGAAATCGGTGCCAACGAGGTGGATCCAGTAGCGGTGCGCCTGCCGCGCCACGATGCCGCAGTGCAGGGTCTTGTCGCGGAACAGGGCCTGGTAGTCCGCAAACTGCGCAATGCTGTCTGGGACGGGCTGCAAGTCGTCGTTGCGCCACAGCACCTCGCCCGTCTGCAGGTCGAGCTTGAGCTCCGAGGTGGCGGAGAGGTACCGCCCGGGCCCAATCGCCTCCCACGTGCGGTCGTCAAACTTGGGCGAGCGCAGCGCGATGCGCAGCACCTTCACCAGCACCTTGTCAATCGTCTTCGAGGCAAAGTACTGGGCAAAGCGGTCGCAGATGAAGCGGCGCTGGCGGCTGTACACGGCAAACAGGCGGTGCTCAGGCACGTCTGCGGGCGGGATGCGCGCCTTGCCCTTGTACGACTCCGGGAAGAGCGTGGGCGCACGCACCGTCTGCCCACCAACGTGCAGGTATAGCGGCTTGCCCTTGAGGTACTTGCTCAGGTCCGAGGCCTTGACGCGCGAGGTGTCGACGCCGTGCGCCTGCAGGAAGCGAACCAAGCGGTCCTCCGCCGTCAGCGACACGCCGGCCTCCTCCAGCTGGCCCGCGTCCATCTGGCTGGCAAGCAGGCCCAGCCCAAAGCCGTGCCAGTTGCGCACGTAAAGGAAGCTCGACAGAAACTGCACCATGTCGTCGTCGGTCATGGTGTCGCGGGTGCGGTTGGCGTACAGCATGCAGCGGTGGCTCAGCACCACGCACGACGTCACAATGTCGCCGTTGTTGTCCGTCTCCTTCTCCCAGGCCCGCAGCACGCGCGCCATGTCCGTGCGCAGGAACTCGCCCAGCCGCTGCGCGTAGGCGTCCAGCTGCGCCACGGCCTCGTCCTTGTCCATAAAGGGGCGGGTGGCCCGGCCCTCTGCAACCGCGTTGCGCACGTGCAACACGTACGCCTCCATGTCCACGGCAAGCAGCAGCATGTAGCAGAGGAAGGTGGCGTCGCGCGAGTACACGGAGGCGTGGTGCAGCGGCCGCGTGCCGCGCAGCATGTCGCAGAAGGGGTCCAGGCACGCCTGCGGGCTCATGAGCAGCTCGTTGAAGAGGAGGCCATATGGGGTGCCCAGCTCTTCCTGCTCGGGCCCGCGGTTCGTGCCCATGTTTTTCCGCGTCTGGTCCTCCGTCGCCTGTTGCTTGGTGAAGCGCAGCGGCACGTTGTTGATGGGCCGGCGGCTGTCTGCGGGCACCCAGCAGCGGCCCTCAAACAGGACGGCACGCAGCAGCGCGCGCAGCTGGCTGTTGAAGAGGTACGTCACGCGGTCCTTGGAGGCGAAGAAGCCGAGCACGAGCGGCAGGCGCATGTAATCCACGGTGAGGAACGACATGAGCTGCTCGGCCTCCTCCCTGCTGAGCGTGTTGCCAAAGGTGGGCAGGCGGTCGCAGTGCAGCACGTCGTCCTCAGAGGGGTACTCGAGGTTGAGCATGCGCGTGACGTCTGCGGGGCTGTGCACGGCGGGGCCCTCGCCAAAGAGCAGGCGGCGGTCGCCAAACCCGCGAATCTCAATGTCGGCCGTGTCCAGGTCTGCGCCGCGGAAGTTGACGGCCTCCCAGGAGAGCGGCTTGCCACCAAGGCGGCCCCACCACCCGCGACGCCCGCCCTCCTCAAAGCTCAGCTGCCACCACAGAAACTGCTGCTTGGTCTTCCTGCGGCGCATGAGCTCTGCCTCGCGCGAGTCCATGGTGGAGAGGAACTTGAAGATGGCCACCATGTCGCGTGTCATGGCCCACTCCTCGTGCTCCTTGGCCAGTTGCGTGTTCTCGCCAATCAGCCACTCCACCAGCACCTCAATCTCCGGCGGCGTGCGCTTGGCGTCGCGCGGGTGCAGCTCGTACCCGAGCCGGGACAGCATCGACCGCAGAAACATGAGCGTGTTTCCGTACTTCTTCACCTCAATCTGCTCCGGCTGGCGGAAGGTGAACACGTCGTTGCGGCACGTGGCGTTCATGGCGCGCAGGTACGCCATGGCGCCGTCGCGGGCGTGGATGAGGTGTGGGTGGTCCAGCTCAAGGCCGGCAACGACGTCGGCAAAGTCCACGTTGGCCTGGCACACCGTGTTGGAGAGCTTGTACCCGGTGCCCTCCGACAGCATGACGGAGAGCGCCATGGGAACGTCGCTGGCCGGGCGGCGCACAATGGCGTCGAAGATGGTGAACATGCACGCGGTGACGACGGTGCGCTCGCAGTCCGAGGAGCGCGGGGCCACCTCGACGGCCTGCCACATGGTGCCGTACACAAGCGCCAGCTTGTACACGCGGCGAAGCAGGTCGAGCTGCAGCTGGCAGGGGATGGCGGCGGCGCTCCACACGTCGCCCTCGCGCATCTGCGGGTCTGCAAACGAGTAGAAGCCCTGCGGCTGGGGCAGCACCTGTGTGAAGAGCTCCGTCAGCATGACAATCACCTCGTACTGCAGCACGAGGCGCGACGTGGTGGACGTGTCGCGGGCCCGCGCAAGCAGCGCATCGCAGGTGGCGGCATACATGTTGAGGGCGTCCAGGGCCTCGCGCGGGGTGGCCACGTGCTGCGGCAGCGAGATGAGGTCAATGGGCTTGGGGTTGCTGGGCTGCAGCACGGCGCCCGCATACTTCTCCACCTTGTCGCGGCAGGCGAGCAGCTGGAACCGGGGAAAGGGCTCGGGCACCGCCGTCTCCTCCACGTCCAGGCGCCGCTGCAGGTAGCGGGCGACGTACGACGCGTCCTCAAACACGCGGCCCGCGCCAAGCTCGCGGCACATGTTCCAGATGCGCTCGATGGTGACCTGCAGCTCGCGCACGCCCGCCAGCGGCAGCCGCCCGGCGTCGTGCTCCTTGATGGCCTTGGCAGCCACGTTCTCGCACGCCCACCGCACCAGCATGGTCTCGTGCGTGGCGAGGGTGGGCGGCCCCTGGGCGGCCTGCGCTGCCGCCAGCGCCGCTGGGGACCAGGGAAAGCCGAGGCAGTCGCGGTCTGTTCGCACAGCGCTCACGCCGTCCATGGTGAGCACCTGGCCTTCGTTGATGACGACGAGGGAGGGGATGCCGCGCACCCCAAACGCGCGCGTGAGCTCGTCCCGGCGCTCCTGGGCGTGGGCGTACGGGACGGCGAGCCAGTCATCGGGCATGCTGGCAAAGTACTTGTCAAACTCCTCCTCCGACTTGCAGCGGGAGACGAAGACGACAACAAAGTTCTGGCCGCGCTGGCGCACGGTGTTGTGGGCGTACGCGAGCAGCGGCATGAAGCGGCGGCAGGGGTCGCACCAGCTGCCGCTGAAGAAGAGCGCAAACGTGGTGTTGTGCAGCGTGTTCCCAGGCACCGTCTCGCCGTTCTTGCGCACATATGTCTTCGCCATGAGCAGCAGCTGCGCCTGCTCCGTGAGTGCGCCCTGGCCATCGGGGCGCGGGGCGGGCCCAAACCCGAGCGCCAGGCCATCCTGCAGGCTGCCCTCCGGGTCGGAGATGACGCACAGGTCGTCGCACACCTTGTTGAGGATCTCGCGGCGAAAGGCGTACGTAAACTGCTTCAGCTGCTCGCGCGAGAGCCCGCGGAAGCGCAGCGTGTAGCGCAGGGCCTCGGCCACCGCCCCAAAGTAGCCCGTGCCGGAGCGACGCGGCGTGCGCCACTCGGCGTAGGGGTCCTTGGCGGTGCGGGCGAGCGCGCTGGGGAGGAGGGAGTCTGCCAGCCAGGGGAGCAGCACGTCGTACACGACCTGCGGCTTGTGGAACTCGCCAGGCTCCTTCATCCACATGGTGAGCATGATGCTCCAGAAGATGGGGTCGGTCAGCTTCTCTGTGGGGATGCCCTCGATGCGGATGGCCGCGCGGTACTTGATCTTGTCGCGGTCTGGGCGGGAGGGGTGGTAGTCGCTCTCCGCGCTGTTGCACGTGATAAACGCATATGTGTTCTGCGCCGTCTTCTCCACAATGTGCATGAGGGCGTTGCCGCCGGTGAGGGTGGACCACCCACCGGGGATGAACACGTGCGTGCCGATGTCTGCGTTGGTGATGCGGCTGGCAATGTCCTGCAGCACCTTCACCACGTCGTCGGGCTCCTTTGGGCTGGAGGTGGCCAGGCTGTGGCACTTGTTCAGGTCCGCCATCGCCGCCTTGAGCACGCCACACGCGTGCGTGTCAAACAGCGGCAGGTTGCGGTGCTGCCCATCACGATCGAAGATCTGTTCATGTCGTGTTTTCGTTGGGAATGAGCGAGTGGAGTGAGTGTGTGTGAGTGGGTGTGAATGGAGTGGAGTGAGAGTGTGTGTGTGAGTGGGTGTGAGTGAGAGAGTGTGTGCGTTTGTGTGAGAGTGAGAGAGTGAGTGAGTGAGTGTGAGCAAGTAGAGTGAGTATGTGTGAGTGAGTGAGTGCAGTTGCAAAATGACACACCTTGACGAGTCGCTTGACAATGTGTTCGATGAACGTGATTGCGTTGGCAATGTGACCCTTCTCCAGGCTGGTGCCTTGGATGTACTTGTCGGCAAATTGCCCAATGAAGGGATCCCAAAGCCTAAGTGTGCGTGCGTGTGTGCGTGTATGTAAGTGTGAGTGTGCACATCGACCGTGAGATGATGACGATGAGCCATGCTTCAAGCAAGTAAGCATGCATGCAACTGTAAAAGAGTGTGGACACTGGCCGTTGACTGACCAGATGGGCTCCTCATCCTTCATGGTGAATGAGGATGCAAGTAGGCCAAGCTAAGGTCTGGCTGTCTTGCTTTGTGTGTGTGGCTGTTTGTGTGTGTGTGTGTGTGTGTGTGTGTGTGTGTGTGTGTGTGTGTGTGTGTTGGATGATGTGAGTGGGCTGGATAGGCTGTCCGAGCAGCAGCACGTACACGAGTGAACAGCAACGAAAAAAAAGAAGTATACACAACACATGAGGCAGCCAGGAAAATGGGTGTCTCGTGGACAAGTGCGAGGTGTGATGTGCCGCGTTGTGGTGCATACGTCGAAAATAGAAAGGCAAGAAGGACAACAACAGCAATTGGCAAGAGCATCAACGCGCACACGAACAAACAAACACGACAACAAACACAATGGTGGACAGCACAGCGCAACGCAGCACAGCGATCGATCGACTCACAAAACCTCAAGGTGTGAAGTGTATCAATGCGCCAGTTTGAAGCAGCGATTGTCTTGCCAATATCCTCTAGCTTTCGCCAACGGGTGTGAGATGTGATGAACGGCGCCGTTGGAGGAGAGGATAGAAGGAGACAGCGACAGCAGCAAAGACGAACGAAGGCCTTCTGCTGCTTCAAAGTAAAAGTGTGCTTGTGTGGCGGTTGATGGTTGTGTTTGTATTGCTTGCTTTTGTCTGCAGTTCGTGTCAGCAAATCTGGCAGTGCCGAAAATACACACAAATCTTTGACTAATTATCATTGGCCGCAACGAAAAGCAAGAATAGCTTGTTTTTGATGGCGGGAAATTCAAATTGTGTTCGCAACAACACCACAGGTGCGCCTTTTTGGCTGGCTGACTGATTGTCACATCACTTCAAGACACCGCGCACACACTTGCCGCACAATCCCACTCACACACAACCGCGCCCCACGCGGCCACAACCACTCACAGACCTCTCTATCGCAGGGAGCTTGGGCCAGAGCACAAGCTAACCAGCACACACCCACCCAAGACCTTTCAACGGCATGTCCTATCAGACTGCGAGTGATCAGACAAGCGGTAGTGTTCAAACTGTTCCAACGAGCAGCTCTTCAGTCAGCCAACACGCGCAGCAGCATCAGAAGCAGCAGCATCAGGAGCAGCATCACGGCCACGCACTGCGAAACGACCCACACCAGCAGCACCAACAGCACCAACAGCAGCAGCCGCAGGAGCAAGAGACGATGGCGCCCACGGCCACCGTCATGAGGAGAAGGATAGACGAAGGACCTGGCAGCTTGTTCTCTGCACTAGCAGGTGCAAGTGGCAGCCAGGACAGCAACAACAGCGACAACGACTTTTTGCCGTCTTCATCAGCAACAAAGGCAACACGAGACACAGCACCAGCACAGCGGGCGGAATCCACGTCGGGTGGAGCCAAGGCAAGGCGGCGACAGAGCCAGCGTACACAGCCAACACAGCCAAGCACAGCCAAGCGACGAGCCGCCTCCACGGGCACGGGCCGCAAGGGCTCAAAACAACAGCAAGCGGCACGGGCAACGACGAAGAAGGGCGGAAAAGCAAAGGCAGATCCCCTCAAACAAACGGACATCCGACAGCACTTTGGTGTTCGCCTCACTCGCCGCATCTCAGAGACTGCTAAGAAGGTGCGTTGCGTGTTGTAGGTGTGTGTGTTGTGTGTTGTGTTTTGTGTGTTGTGTGTGTATGTGTGTGTGTACGTATGTGTGTGTGTACGTTTGTGTGTGCGTGTGTGTGTGTGTGTGTGTGTGTGTGTGTGTGTGTGTGTGTGTGTGTGTGTGTGTGTGTGCTGAAGGTGACTGGTGCAGAACGCGTTTTCGATTTGCCCTCGATGTGCACGTTTCGTTTGTAAAACATCCACCAGCACCACACTAACATGTCTACGTGACACGTGACGGCAGGAGCAACAACTGCAGGAGATCCAGAACATGATTCGAGAGGAGCGAGACAGCCCGCATCTGGACATTGTGGATATTGAGGGCAAGGGCAAGGGTGTGCTGGCAAGGCGCACGTTTGAGAAGGGCGAGTATGTGTGCGAGTACGCGGGTGACTTGATTACAAAGCCGGAGGCGGCTGAGCGGGAACAGCGGTATCTCACAGAGGCGAGGGAGCAACACCTCGACGAGATGATGTGCTACATGTACTTTCTTCGCCACAGGGGCAAAGTCTGGTGGTGAGTGTGTGATTGTGTGTGTTTGTGATTGTGTGTGTGTTTGCGGTGATGCGTATGTGTTCGTGTTTGTTGTGTGCACGTGCGTGCACATGTGTGCGATTATATTTGTGCGTGATTGTGTGTGTGTGTGTGTGTTGTTTTTTTTTGTGTGTGTGTGCGTTGTTATGCCTGCCATCACGTGCTCACCGCCACGTTCACATCACGCCCAACTCATCCACCCTTGCATCCAACCCAACCCCATCCTCCCACTTCCATGCAACAACAGTGTGGATGCAACGCACAGCAAGCGCATTGGCCGTCTCATCAACCACAGCCGTAGTAGCTTCAATCTCCGCACAAAACTCTTTGAGGTTGACGGAACACCGCACCTCGGTCTGGTTGCCACCAGGGTCAGTCAACGCGTGTGTATGTCTATGTGTGCGTGTGTATGTCTATGTCTATGTGTGCATGGGTGTGTGTGTGTGTGTGTGTGTGCATGCGTGTGTGTGTGTGTGTGTGTGTGTGTGTGCGTTGATGGCACAAATGGGGCTGGCGTATCCTTCTATGCATGCCAAGTCACTCCATTCCTTGGTTAGTCATGTCCTGGCTCTCACTGCCTCCCCTCACCCCAGCTTTGCCTCGGTCCTTGTCCCCTCTCCCCAACCACCACCACAACCATCACCATTGCGCCCCTTGACAGGAGATCAGCAAAGGAGAGGAGTTGCTGTACGACTACGGCGAGCGGGATCCAAGCACGCTCCGGGCCATGCCCTGGCTCAAGTCATGACACGACACCCACGTGGTGGCGTGAAGACACAACATAAACGTGCCACGTTTTGCGTTACTCGTGTAAGCAACTGAGGCAAGCAGCCCTCTCGTGGGCGAATGTCGTGATGATGGTGATCGTGCTCAGGGTGATGGTGATGGTGACAGTGATGATGAGCGAGTACTGTTACAAGCACATGTTGGTGTGGCAATAAACGAGCGTTGAGAAAACAGTCGCCAGTCAACGATCGTGTGTGCGAGTGAGGGAAAATGTTGTGCTGTTCACGCATACACACACACATGACAGTAGCGTTGACAAGAGTTACATGGGACCAAATTGTGTACTCTGATTGCTACTGGTGGTGGTTGATCAGCACAGACGAGAAGCGAGCGACATGAGAACAAACCGCAAAACAAAAACAACACGCAAGCAGCGAGCAAATCCTTCGTGTGTGTGTGTGTGTGTGTGTGTGTGTGTGTGTGTGTGTGTGTGTGTTGGTGCCTAGAACAAGAGATCCTCGTCGTCCTCTTCCTCCAGCATACTCGGCATTGATTCCTCGGTTGCGGCTTCTGCACACGGCGCCGTCGTGGTGGGTGTTTCGTTACGCACCCGGTGAGAGGCAAGCGAATACACAGTGCCATAAAACCACCAGAAACCAGCGTGTTGGATACAGCGAGTTGCAGTCGGAGGGAGGCACAATGCAGAACCACACACGGCCAGCAGCCCACGCCACCAAAACGACAGCGACACCACCACAACCACGGCAACTTGACAGCAACTTGACAGCAACAGGAAAGCGAGGGATGACCCACCGCCAAGAGCAGCGAGGGCGGCAGCCTCCTTCTTGTCCTTGATCTCCTTCTTCTTCTCCTGGATCTTCTTCAGCCTGAACGCAGCAGAATGGACGGGTGTGGGCATGCGTATGTGAGTGGGGGGGGGAGTGCGCATTTCTCTCTGTCCCCCTGTCCCTCTCAGGTTTCTTCCCCTGATTCCCTTGCACGCACACACACGCACGCGAACAAAACACCAAGCAACAAAACAACACCAAACCAAACAAAGCAAAGGCAGAGTGGCCGTCACGCGGACCTGTAAAACTCCTCGCGTTCGCGCTCGTCAAGCTCAGACGCGATGTACGAGAGCGTGCGCTCAATCCGCGGGATAATCACGTGCTCAATCGCATTCACGCGGCGGTTCGTCGCCTTGATCGTCTCGTCAAGCACAACAAAGGACGTCTGCCGTTGCGCAGCGGCGTGGCGAGAGGTGGGAGGGGGATCGTTGAGCGTTGTGGTGATGGTGGAAGGGACACACAGGAAGAGCAGCGAATAGCAAAAGCAGACACACGCTTGAGGAACGAAACACACACATATATGAACAGATCACACTTACATGAGTAGATCACACACATACATGAACAGACATAGACATGATCAGATCACACACAGATCACACACACAGACACATGAACACACACACACACACACAAAACAAAAAAAACGAGTGTGTGGGCGGTACCTGGAGGGAGGCGAGCTCGACCAGCAGCTCGACGGCCTTGTCCCACGTCTCCTTGCACCGCTGAATCTCCTGTCCACCGCGCGACAGACCCGTCAGCTCAAACCCTGGGCCGCGCCAAGAGGTGAGGGGTGAGAGACATGGCGGCACGCTCGTGTGAGCACACAAGTAAAGAAACAACACACTGCTCAAGCAGCCAAAACACGCCCACGCGCGAGGACACGTACACATTAGCACTCACACACAGACCAAACTGCGTGCCAATGTTTCCCACAACGCCCCCCCCCAACAACAACGCCTTTTCCCTCATCATCATCATCATCATCATCATCATCATCATCATCATCATCATCATCATCATCATCATCATCATCATCATCATCTTCTTCTTCTTCTTCTTCTTCTTCTTCTTCTTCTTCTTCTTCTTCTTCTTCTTCTTCTTCTTCTTCTTCTTCTTCTTCTTCTTCTTCTTCTTTCAGAGAGGTGTACCTGAGCTGCCGTCACGCGCAGGGTGGAAGATGGGCAGCTGCACGCCCGCAACGTTGTCCTTGTGCGCCTTCACCATAAACGTGGCCCGGTTCACGTTCTGCAGCACCGTGTGTCTGTCGAAGAGATGGGGCCACCATAAATGAGCGGAAGCAAGGCCGTGCATGAACGTGTACACAATTTGTGCATTTGTGTGTGTGTGTGTGTGTGCATGTGTGTGTGCATGTGTGTGCGCGCATGTGTGTGTGTCCGTGTGTGTGCATGTGTGTGTGTTGTGTGTGTGCGCATGTGTGTGTGTGCATGTGTGTGTGTGTGTGTGTGTCCGTGTCTGTGTCAGTTGCTGCATCATTGTCCGTAAGCCTGTGCGCTCACGAAACTCCACGCACACCATTCGCTGCTGCGCATCTCATTGCGTGCGACAAAGAACGTACGAAAAGTCGCCGGCCTTGAAGTTGGCCTCTGCCAGGGAGAATGCAGCCTCGCGCATCACCTCGCCCATCAGGGTTTTGTTCTATTACGAGCAAGCAAGTCCGCCCACAAAAGCGTGAGGAAATGTGGGAATTGGTACAGCCATGCTATGCACTGGCAACACTGCATGCACTGTGACCGATTCGCATCCACACACACACACACACAACACACATACACACACACAATACACACAACACACGACACGCACACACACAACACACAACACACACACACACCTGGATGATTTGCTTGAGGATGGCACGGAATCGAAGGGTGAGGGCATCGGCCTTCTTCTTCAGCAGGCTGTGGCCCTTCTTTGCAGATTTCAAACGCGTCTTCATCTGCGTCTGTGACCTGCATGGTGGAACAGCACCAGATAAACAGCAGCGAAAACACATCATCCACAGCACAACGGCAGCAATCACTTTCGTGCCACTTGCCGCAATGTGCACTCACATTTGCTCCCTCGCACACACACACACACACACACTATTGCAAACACACACACACACACTATTGCAAACACACACACGCACACACCACGGCAAACACACACACACACACACACTTCCAGTCACTCACACGCTCACGCTCACGCTCACAGACACAATCACTCAAATCACTCACACACCGAATCACTCCGTTGCTAACGAGCACGCATGCCACGCCATCTCAATCACGTACATGCGGGAAGGGAAGACATTGTAGCGGTCGCCTTGGCCAGACATGGTGGAGGGTGGAGGTGGTTGGTGTGCGTGGTGGTGGTGGACGACGCGACTGCCTTTCTGGAGATGGTTGTGGACAATTGGTTAATGATAACCGTTAATATTCGGCAAACCTTACCATTGCTCGCAACTCCACCACCACTGCTTCTGCTTTGTCTTTGCTTCTTTGCTTCCCCTTGCTTCGTGCTTGCTTGCTTTCCGCCACCATGCCAGTCTTTGTTTTGTACATGAAGATGGAGATGGAGGTAAGCGAGTGAGAGGGAGACAGTGTGTGTGTTTGTGTGTGTATGTGTGCGTGTATGCGTATGCGTGCGTGTATGCGTTTGCGGCTCGTGCGTTTGTGCTTCCTGACACTGCTGCATCAGACACATGCACTCATACACGTACATATTCACACACACACTCACACACATTCACACACACACACACGCGCGCGTGCGACTGCTCAGAACGTCGCAGAGGTGTCGTGGGGCGACGACATGCTGTGGTGTGTGGACCTCCAGCAGTCTGGCGGCAACGAAGTGCGCAGTGAGGTCGTCATTGACACCACCGAGGAGCAGCCCCTTGAAGGGTCGCGTGGCACAGCCAACTTTGTCATGAAGGTACAAGCGAGCAAGCGAGCTAGTCAGTGAGTGGAGGTGTGACGGCTTCTGTTCACATTTGCTGTTTTATGTGACTGCCGCACAGTGTCTCGCACATCATGTCGTACGCGCTGCGACAACCACAGCGTGCTTCAATTCTCCTCACACCTCACACCACACCCAACTCTTGTCTTGTCCTCCTCCCTTCAATGTTGCAGTGGAGCAAGTCTGACAGGAAAGGAAGCTCCGTGACAAAGGAGGAGAAGAAAGGCGGAGCGCGCTTCATCACAGAGGACGACGTTGGCAAGTGGGTGCCCGTTGCAGCCTTTGACTGCCGTGGCGCCGACATTATCAAGTATCACCCTCGTGATGGATTCACCGTGACAACAACCGGTGCGAATGTGCATGTGTGTGTGTGTGTGTGTGTGTGTGTGTGTGTGTGTGTGTGTGTGTGTGTGTGTGTGTGTGTGTGTGTGTGTGTGTGTGTGTGGTGGTGGTGGTGTGTGTGTGTGTGGATAGGGTGTGTGTATGTGCGGTGTGCGACGTGGTTTTGATGTGCACATGTGTGTGCACGCCTCTCTCTCTCCCATATCTGAAGACGCGTGCGGAGTCACACTCCGAACCATTTTGGCGCGCACTGTCCATCACACACACACACACACACACACACACACACACACACACACACACACAACACACAACACACAACACACAACACCAGGTGGCGCCGTGTTCAAGGATGTGGACCTGTCGGAGGAGTGGGCGGACTATGACGAGGAGAACGACCTCAGCGTCAGCATCATGGAGGTGGAAACCAAAGTGGAGACAACCAAGTAACTGTTCATCCCACTGTGGCGCACGCTCCAAGCACACTGTTTGTGTTCACCGTTTGCATTAATCCTTATTTGTCGTGGTGCACGCTGTTCCCAACACGTGTCACCAAAGGGGTGCCCTGCTTTGACCTACACCACGCGCGCCTGTCAAATCGTTACAACCATTCCCTTTCACGGCGAGTGTCGCACACCTCAACCACCTCCTCCCACCCCGCACCCGCTGTCTCTGCTTGGTCGGTCCAGTGCCATTTGGTGTTGCTTCCATAAACGCGAACGAACCAGCACAGACGCACATGCATATGGCCGCGCTGTCGCCAATATGAAACCACCACGCCAGTGCTAAACGAGCAAACTCACAGCTGACAAACCACGTGATGTGACACGGCAACAATACACGACCATGCCTCGAACAAGCGTGCGAACAGACTCAGAAGCAACTAAAAAAACAAAACAAAAGATAGCCTGTGTGTGTAATAGTGAATGCATTTATGTGTGTGTGTACGTGTGTGTGTGTACGTGTGTGTGTGTGCATGTGTGCAGTACTGCAAACTACAAGCACACGCGTCATTGTAACTGCAAATAGTGAATGCATTTGTGTGTGCACGTGTGTGTATGCGTGTTTGCGCGTTTGTGTGTGTGTGTGTGTGTGTTTGCGCGTTTGTGTGTGTGTGTGTGTGTGTGTGTGTGTGTGTGTGTGTGTGTGTGTGTGTGTGTGTGTGCAAATAACACTGCAAACTACAAGCACAAGCGTCATTGTAACTGCAAAATAGAAGAGAAACACCAGCACACCTCTGGCGCGTCGCATCAGGCGTCCAGGATACCATAATACATGAGCGCCTCCCTGCACTTTCCGAAGATGAACACGCTGCCAATGGTTCTGCCGATGCGCCACTCTGCTCCCCTGAAGAACGCGCCAAGGCCGCCCTCGCAGTACAGGCGCCGCGCTGTTGCCGTGATGGTGCTGAACGTCGTGCGCCCTGGATCGCCCTGCTCGTGCACCGTGAAATTGGGGGGGGGGGGGGAGCAGGGAAAGAAATTTGTGATGTGTGGAAAGAATGAAAAAGGGGGAAGGGTTGTGTTTCGGGGGGGGCTTCCAACACATGTGGACGCACAAAGGACTACCACACACATACGTGGACACACACACACACACACACACACACACACACACACACACACACACACACACCCCCCTACCACACACACACACACAAACCAGCACAATCCCCCAACACACACAAATACATACACAATACATACACACGCACAATCCCCAACACACACACACACATACACACACATACATACACACAGACACAAACGCGAACCTGCATGCATGTCTTGATGGTATCGACTGGGTGGGAGAGTCCAGCGGCGATGCAGCCGGCAAATATGGCACCGCCAACCTCGCTCTGCACGCGCCCAAACTGGTAGTGCTGGCGCAGGTGGTCCACGGCAAGCGGGCCCAAGCCAAGATACCCGGCAGTGAAGATGCCCTCACGCACACACGCTGTGGAGAGACCACGGTAGAAGATGCGAGCACCATGTGCCTGCCGCAGTTGCTTGAGCACGGCCAGCACGGTGCCGCCACGCCGCTGCTGCGTGATGATGGACAGCTCAAGCGGCGAGCACACGACCCCGGAGATGAGGCCACCCACGAACCCGCTCGTCACTTGCTCCACGGCTGTCAGGGGCCTCTCCCCGCCTGTCCACCGCCGGCACGCGCGCATGAGTATCAAGCACAAGCATGAACGTACGCGTACACGAAGGGGCAAATGCACAAGCACATGTAACCGCACATTCGCACAAAGCAGTATCTTTCACAAATGCACACGAAGCAAAACACACGGACACAGCCACACGCACCTGTAATGAGCTTCTTCGTCATGGCTGTCAGCGGGAACTGAAGGCCTAGCAAAGTAGTGTGGGGACGTGTGGCAGAGCGGAGATGGGAGGAGGAAAGGCAGGGTGGAAGGAAATTCGAGGGCACACGAGCGTGCACAGGAGATTGAGCAGCATTGGTGAGACATGTCGTGTTGGCCACAGGGTATGCACGGCGAAAGAAGAGTGCCAACCTGTACACACCCTTACACACCCTTACACACCCTTACACGCCCTTACACACCCTTCCACACCACACAACACCACACACACACGCACAGACGCACACACCACACACCACACAAACACACACACACACACACTCACACACACATATGCGCTCACCTGTGAGGACGCTCATGTTGATGAGGTTGGTGCCAATGCCACGGTAGAGGAGCAGAGGCCGCAGGGTCACGGGCAGGCCTTGTTGTGACGCATTCTTGAAGTACACTGTCGGCTGCATGACGCTCACTTCGACGCAGCCAGACGCCAGCCCGCCCACAAACTCATCCATGCCGTCTTGTGTCTCTTTGGAGCGTGTGTTGTGCTTCCTGTTGCGCTTGCTTGGAGCGGGTGTCCTTCCAGTCGTCGAAAATTCCATGAAAATATCTACTATTTTTCTCTATCCGCAGCGAACGACAACGACGATGGTGAGTGCTGCTCTGTGTGTGTGTGCTTGTGTGTGTCTGTGTGTGTCTGTGTGTCTGTGTCTGTGTCTGTGTGTCTGTGTCTGTGTCGGGTGTGTGCCGATGTGTGTGTGTGTGCGTGTCTTTGCCGATGTGTGTGCCGATGTGTGTCTATGTGTGTGTGTGTGCGTGTGCGTGTGTCTGAGCTCGCGTCGGTCTCCCTTCGGAATGAGCGTGCTCCCTTGCCACTGGCTCATCCTCACATGCGTGCTCGCATTCACACACACACACACACACACACGCCATCACTGACCCCCCACTCCACACTTGCACAGCTTCCACTGTCCTTGATTCGTGCGGCCGTCAACCACCCCATGGTGAGGGAATGGGCGGGATTTGGAGTTTGGTGCTCATGTTGCGAACGGTTCGTGTTGCCTTTCCCTGTGCGCTGCCGCTGCTGCTCGCACCCTTATTGGCCTTGTTGTGACTCACTCACGTGTTTCTGTTTCCTCGCACGTTTGTGTCTCCCTCTCACTGCGTTGCCATTGCTAGTTGGTGGAGCTGAAGAACGGCGAGTCCTACAACGGCCATTTGGTCAACTGCGATCACTACATGAACATTATCCTACGCGGCGTCACTCTCACCTCCAAGGTTGGCGCAGTGGGGTTGGTGGAGGGGGGAAGAGAGATTGCGTGCGCGTGTTTGCGTGCGCGTGTGTGATGTGCGTGCGTGAACGTGCATATGCGTGCGTGAACGTGCATATGCGTGCAAGTGAGCACCACATGTTCGTGTCTTACCGTGTGCTTGTGTTCCCGTCACTTGCCGTTGTTGTCAATTCACATTTGTCCCATTGCTGTTTGACAACACGCACTCACTTGCCCACACTGACAACCATGCATACAAACACACTGACACTTATTCACACACACACACACCCATACACACACTCTCTCACTTGCACACACACACTACCACACACTGACAACCATACACACACATCCCCCTGCCCTCGCATATGCGCGCTCGGTATGGTAGGATGGCGATCGGTTCTGGAAGCTCAAGGAATGCTACATCCGCGGCAGCACCATCAAGTACCTGAGGTTGCCCGATGAGATTATCGACATGGTCATCCAGTCAGAGAAGCGGCCTCGTGGCGGGCGCAAGACGCGCGGGCGTGGCGGTGGTCGTGGTCGTGGTCGTGGTCGCGGTGGCCGCGGGCGTGGCGGTGGTCGCGCATAACGTAACCGATGGTGTGTGTGTGTGTGCTTGTGGTTCTGTGTTTGAGTTTATGTGTGTGTGTGTGTTTTTGTGTGTGTGTGTGTGTGTGTGTGTGTCGACGTGTTTGTTTATCTCTTCTTTCTCTGTTTCTCTCCGTCTATTTGTGTGTTTGTGTGAGCGAGGAGCGTGCAGTTGCGTGCAGATGAACCCAATGTTGTTGAATCAAAGGCGAGAACCTGTGAATGCTTCATCGTGTTCGTCATAGCTTGACCATGCCTTTGCTGTTCAAAGGTAGAGTTGCACACCCATGTCAAACTATCTGTTCTGTCTGTTTTGTGCTTATGTCTGTTTGTTTTGCCCGTTCGCATGTCGACGCGAATACAAGCCTTGGAATTGCACATGGCTTGCTTCCTTCAGTGTTTACATGTGCTCCGTGCCAGCGACGGACAGCGCGGAAAGCAGAGCCAAGAGAGAGAGAGAGAGAAGAAGAAGAAGAAGAAGAAGAAGAAGAAGTCGTGTAACGGAACAACAGAACATTAGCGCATTGCACACACACGCACACACACACACAGTACAATGTGCATCACATATGAGCCAGTCTCTTGTTTCACCGATTAACTATGCCGTGAGCCTGGTGACGTGGTCATAGAACACAACCTGCGGGGGGAGGAGGGGAGGAGCATGAGATGTTGTGTGTGTGTGTGTGTGTGTGTGTGCATGCATGTGTGTGTGTGTGTGCATGCGTGTGTGTGTGTGTGTGTGTGTGTGTGTCTGTGTGTCTGTGTGTCTGTGTGTGTGTGTGTGTGTGTGTGTGTGTCTGTCTGTCTGTGTGTGTCTGTCTGTGTGTGTGCAGCTGCAATGCATATGCTGCGTGCCCTCGCCTGCAAGTATTCATCCGTCCGTAAAACGGTTCGCGTGGAGTTGTCTCCGGGCGACTCAAGCTGTGCACATGTACACATGCATGCAAGAGAATGCGAGTAAGCCACGTGCACTGCACAAGTAATGTCGTAAAGTCGCAAAAAGACAGACAAACAGACGCACAGACACGCACAACACGCACGCACGCACAACACACGCACACACACACACACTAACACACACATGCACACGCACACACGCACACACACACACACGCACACAATACATTAGCACCTGGGGATCGACGTTGACAACTTTGCGGTCTTTTGTGTTCTTGAAGAGGAGGCCTTGGTATTCGTTGGACAGAACCTGTGGACGCATGGGAGGGCATGGCATGTAGGTGGTGAGTTGGTGCTCATGGCTGGCGAGTGGTGACACGAATGCGAACACACGCGCAGTGGAAGCACATGATAACACACACACACACACACACAACCGCGCGCACACACACTTATACACGCACGCACACACAACCACACACACAACCACGCACACACATACACACACGCACCGTGTAGTTTGAGCTTTGTGTGGAGTGCGCGGTCTGCGTGACCCAGTTGTAGTAACTGAAGACAGGAGCAGACGACAGCCATGAGGGGTGGTGGTGGTGCGGTGTGAGCGACGGAACATGGAAGTAAGGGACAGGAAGGAAATGGAAGCAAGCGAGGGAAGCAAAGGGAAAGAGAGGGAAGGAAAGAAAGAAGGAAGGAGAGACAGAGACAGAGATACAGAGACAGAAAAACTCAACCCAATCTCACGCATACCGAAACGGAATGCGGACAGCAAACCGAGGGCATCACACACACATACACACACACACACATACACACACCTGAGGTCTGACGGGCGCGGCATGAAGCGCTTTCGTCCACTGAAGTACAGATGGAAGTCGTCGTTCTGTGTTGCAATGCCATGAGAGTTGTGGTGGTGGTGGTGATGGTGATGGTGAGGACAGCAATGAGCACACGGCGTCGCAAGAACACAACAGCATGCACGTGCGCGTGTGCCAGTGCACGTCATATGAAGTTGCGGGACTCACCTCGAAGCGTTCTGCCAAGTCAATGTATCCCGACACCTCCTGAAATCAAGGTGAGTGTTCATGGATTTGGGATGAGGCTGTGTACGTTATGACAGGATACACACACACACACACACACATACACACACACCCGCATCCACACACATACCACACATCACGAACATCACACGCATCACACGCATCATACACAAGCACATGTTCACAAGCAACGGTGCTGACCTGTCCCTTTGAGTTTTTGTCACGGATGAAGACAATAGTCTACAATTAAAACACGCGTATGCATCCATGTGTGTGTGCATACGGTCAGCAACTCATCCCAGTACGTACGCGAGCGTAAATGCACACACACACACACACACACAAAAACTCACACACACACACACAAAGCACACACACACACGCACCATCATTTTGCCAATGCGGTTTGGCTCTTCTCGTTCTGCCAACGCTTGCAAAAACGGAGAGAGGTCCATGTAGTCCTCTGACACCAATACCCTGTCAAGTTCCCACAAATACAACGATGAGTGTCTGCTCGACATGCCAGCAAGCATAATTGTCCTCTTGCAAGACTGACAAGTCATGGCAATGCACACGAGTTCTGCTGGGCCTTACACATCATCCTTGGCTCGCTGTGCTGTCCGAGCCTGCTCTGCTGCGGCCTTTCTCGCCTCAAACTCCTCCCGCTTGATCACCTACATGTGTGAGCAGGTACAGCAAGGAGGGTGATGAGTGGCCACGCACAAGATGACACAATCAGCATGCTGTACAAGCACACACAAACATACAAAAACAAACGCACACACATACAAACACATACACCAATGCCATACACAACGTCGTACACACAAACAAATGCACACAAGAACGCGCTCGCACTGACCTCGCCCGTGCCGCGAACGCCCAGCTCCACCAGCTGGCGTGCCAGCTCCTCATCTTCCAAGTAGTAGAGATCAAGCGCAGACACTTGGCTGTCCAGGAAGTCCTCGTATGTCTTAAAGTCAAGCAGGGACGCATCCCCAACCGCACCTTCCCCACTCATATTGGTTTGCTCCCTGAAATGAAACGCCCGCCCTTGTTTGCTTGTTGCCAGGAGGAGAACAACACCATAAAGTGTAGCGAACAGCCGAGCACAGCCAGGCAGCAGGCCAGCAGCGAACAGCAACGCATCCACGTGGTTTCGCCCTGTCCCCAGCGCAAACACACACACACACACACACACGCGCACACACACACACACATCCAACCATCCAACATCAACCTCAGCCATGCCACGTCGTGGAGGTGGAGGAAGCAGTGGCGGGTTCGCTCGCACTCTCATCCCCAAGATGAAACAGGTGCAAAAAACAGCAACAGCGCTGGTGTTATGCGTGGCCTGCTTTCGCTGCTCGACTGCTCCCTTGTTCGGTTTGTTTGACGCACACGCACACACTTTTGCACATGCACACGTATTGTTGGTTGTTGACGTTCCTCTGGCCACGCCTGCCCCCCCCCCCCCTCCCCTCTCCTGCGCTGTGTTGATGATAGATTCAAGCCGAGCGCCCAGGGGCGCCTCTCACCGTGGATGAGATGGCAATGACGCTCAAATCGAGATTCAGGTGGGGTAGGCAAGAGAGAGAGAGGAGGGGGGGGGGGGGACAAGAGCATGCAATGCACAGTGAATGATCTTGTTAACCAAAGAACTCCAGATAATTGAGTTCCGACGGGTGGCTGGGAAGGAGGACGGCACAGGTGTCACATACGGAAGAGAAATAGCGTCTATCTGAAGCCCCGTAGTGGGTGGGGATAAATAAATGATAGAGTTCTCCGATCGCTCGGCGGCGGCCAGACACTTAATCCCCAGAGCCATGGCTAACCATCCTGAGGCCAGGCTACCCGCACTGATGCAGACATAAGGCTGAGATGCAAACACAGCTATTTTATTATCTCACCGCACTACTCCACACAAATTATGTAGATTAAATGAACACACGAGGCGTGCGGACCATCTGCAGAGGATGCTTATCGATCGAAAACCCAGAGAAAAGGCCAGATGTACATGGTGTTTAATTCCTCCTATACTTGGCCGGCCCAATTATTAGGCACTCCTCCAAAGTGACACTCCTCATAAAGGCGAAACTCGACTGACGGCACTCAAGAAGAGACCAGCCCGACTTAAAGGCGTAATAGTAATTACACTCGATGGGCGTACCTCCACTTTCACCTCACCTCCCCCCCCTAAACTATACCCCCCCCCCCCATCTCTGACCCTTCTTCGAACTACGTCCCCCACACCACCTGTGCCTACGATATCTCCAACCTGCTATGATGCCACCTGCTTTCGCGCATGGCGCAGCGTTCAGGCTGCTGCAGAAGGACAAGCAGAAGGCAAAGAAGGCTGCCGCTGCCGCCCAGCAGGCGGGCGTCGAAGACGCTGCTGTAGTCGTGGACGCCGATGGCGAGGGAGATGACGACTTTGACACATCCGACCTGCAGCCCAGCAAGCGGTCACGCCTGACGTCGACGGGCCCGTCATCACCGAGTGCCGACACGCCATCCACCACCGACGATCGCGCGCGAAAGAAAAAGTCGAAATCGGCCGCGCGGCAGCTTATGGACAGCATCAGCCAGCTCAGCGATCCAAACGCCCGCAAAAGTACGCGCACATGCTATCGGGCGCCGTGTGCTCACCTGCGCCTGCGTGATGACATAACTGCGGCGATGCCAGTAATGTTGAGACTGCGACTTGAGCTCCTGCCCTGAATGCGTGGCATGGGATGCGTGCGCTACGTCTGCACTGCTGGTGTGCACACCTGCGGCGGTGACGATGATGCTGATGATTGCCTTTTTGCTTGGTGGGTTTGCAGAGAAAGTGTTTCCGGTGGAGCAGTCCTCGACAACGCTGGAAGATCTTGGTGGCCTCGACCACACCATATCCGGTAATGCCGTGACATGCACACTGTTGTTGGAGGGGGAAGAAGTGTTGATAGTGTACTTGAGCTTGTGTCTCAGATGGACGTGTTGATTCACGTCCATTCCTCACCCCCAATCCTGCGCTGCCATTTCGTATGTGTATGCGTGTATGTGTGTGTGTGTATGTGTGTGTGTGTGTGTGTCATTAGTTGTGCGATCAACAATGGACGCGACGTTCAGGGGTGCGTACATGTTCAAGCATCTCGGCTTTGAGCCCCCAAAGGGGCTGCTCCTCCACGGGCCCCCAGGTGCGAACCTGTACATGTGTGTGTGTGTGTGTGTGTGTGTGTGTGTGTGTGTGTGTGTGTGTGTGTGTGTGTGTGTACTCGTGTGTGTGTGTCAGTTTCCCTGTCTCTTCATGTCCATGAACACGCGCGTGCATGTGTGCGTGTCATCGTGCACATGTCTTGAGCGCTGTGCCTGCTTTAAAGACAGCCCCTCAACCAAGTCGTCCATTATCCTTGCTGCTGCTGCTGCTGTTTCAGGCTGCGGCAAGACGCTGCTTGCCTCCGCCATTGCTGGGGAATGGGAAGTGCCGTTTATCAAGGTGCGCTTGCTGTGGTATCGGCTGGCCCTTTGTGTGGGCACGGCTGACGCACGCACACCCACACCCACACACACGCACGTACGCATGCGCACATACACGCACACGTGCACCCATGCATGTGGTCGTGACCTGGCTCATTTCGCTGACGTGTCCTCACACCCTCGCCATCATCACGGTGCCATCGTCTCTCAACACATTGCTTGCCAGGTGTCTGCGCCCGAGTTGATTGGCGGCACTTCTGGCGATTCGGAGCAGTTTATTCGCGACCTCTTTGAACAGGTGACGTGCACATGGAAGTACGCACGTGCACATATACATGCAGATACATACACAATACACTCACCTGCACGTATGCACGCACAGAGCACGCATGCACACACGCTTGCACACACGTAAACACACAACACGCTCCTAACTTCGCCGCTGTTCTGTTGGAATGCATGCACTCATGCTTTACGCATGTGTGGCTGCATACAGGCGATTGCGATTGCGCAACGGGACAAGCGGGGCTGTATTGTCTTTCTCGATGAAATCGACACCATCACCGTAAGCATTCGCACGCGTATACACGCACACTGATTTGGCGTGCATGTGAAAATAGCATCCTTGCCATCGAGTCAATCACTAACACACATGCTCACACACTCTCTCTCACGCACACGCACACACACGCACACACACGCACTCACTCACACACACACACACATATACGCACGCACACACGACACGCCCCATCTCCCCAATTTGGCAACATGTGTGTGTATGCAGTCGAAGCGAGAGAATGCGCAGCGAGAAATGGAGCGAAGAATTGTTGCGCAACTGATGACGACCATGGACAACCTCTCCCTTGAAAACACGGGCGGCAGCCCCGTTCTCGTCATCGGCGCAACCACGCGACCAGGTACATGCACTGTGGTGTGTGTGTGTGTGTGTGTGTGTGTGTGTGTGTGTGTGTGTGTGTGTGTGTGTGTGTGTGTGTGTGTGTGTGAACCCACCTCGGTTGAAATGCTTGTATTCTCTCGTGTACCTCACCTCATCAACAACCACCACCACTAATCACCATCATCACCCAATCACCCACCACCCATCATCACCAGATGCACTTGATCCGGCCATTCGCCGTACGGGTCGCTTCGACACAGAGGTTGCCCTCTCGGTCCCAGATATTGACGCGCGCGCGCACATCCTCGCTGTCATCTGCCGAAACAAACGCATCGATGCCGGGGTGGACTTTGCCAATCTTGCCAAGCGCACTCCTGGGTTTGTGGGCGCGGATCTGATGTCGCTCGCGAACCAGGCGTGTCTCAACGCTGTGCTCACTGCACTTGCGGCACAGGATAGCGGTGATAGTGATGGCAATGGTGATGGTGATGGTGTGGTGGCGGCGGAGACGAAGAAGGGGGTCAAGGAGGAAGCAGCCAGCAATAGCGTTGGTGGCGCTGATGCGATGGTGAAAGCGGAGATGAAGGAGGAGGCAAGTGCTGCGCGCAGTGATGCTGGTGCTGGTGCTGGTGTGGGCTCCACCATAGACACAAACGCAGACACAACAGCAGACACAGCGGCAGACACAACGGCAGACAGAGCAGCAGACACAGCAGGACCCAAGCAGGAAGCAGCGGGTGATGGTGACGGTGATGGCCAGGATCTGTCTGTGGTGATTGACGAGTCGATGGATGCTGAACCAACCATTGAGACCATCACGCTGGATGACGTGACCGAGGACACGGCTGCCCAGTTTATGGAATTGCAGCACCTTCAGTATCTCTCCGTCACAACAGCAGACTTTGAGGCAGCCCTCAAGAGGTACTTTTATCGCAGAGCGGAAGGGATGGAGAGGGAGTTGGAGATGGATCGAAAGGGGAGCGACGCAGAGACACAGAGAGAGACACACACACAGACAGACAGACACAGAGACAGACAGAGAGAGAATGCTCTGTGGCGGTGTACGTGTGTGTATGTGATTGTCAGCCACTGTGCTGCTTCTGTGCTGTCCCGTATGCATCAGCCTCACCACCCTCTTCATCACCATCCCATCCACTGTCATCATCACCACCGTGTGCTTGCTGGAGCCCAGAGTGCAGCCGTCTGCGACGCGTGAAGGGTTCGCCACAACGCCGTCCGTCACCTGGGACGATGTTGGCGCATTGGGCGGCCCGCGCAGGTAATTGATTGGCTCTGCTGCTGCTCTGATGGTGTATGGGAGTGGGTTTACTCAACCATTGCCCCTCTGTCTTTGTCTCTTCCACAACACACACACATGCACACTCACTCACTCACTCACTCACTCACTCACTCACTCACTCACTCACTCACTCACTCACTCACTCACTCACTCACTCACTCACTCACTCACTCACTCACTCACTCACTCACTCACTCACTCACTCACACGAACAAACCACCCATTCTGCATCAGGGAGCTTGAGGAGGCCATCAAGTTCCCGCTGCAAGCGCCAGAGCTGTGTGCGAGCGTTGGCATCCGCAAGCCACCGGGCGTGCTGCTCTATGGCCCACCTGGCTGCGGCAAGACGCTGCTTGCCAAGGCGCTCGCCAACAGCTGCAACGCAAACTTCATCTCCATCAAGGGCCCCGAGCTGATGAACAAGTTTGTTGGTGAGAGCGAGCGCGCAGTGCGACAGCTGTTCACCCGCGCAAAGACGTCGTCGCCGTGTGTTGTCTTCTTTGATGAGCTCGACGCACTCTGCCCTCGGTCAGTACTGGCCCATGGGCTTTGTGTATGCGTGAGAGTGAGAGTGAGCGAGAGTGAGCGAGAGCGAGAGAGCGT